CGCTGTGTTTAGATTTGTGCTCAACTGATAAGAGATAAGTGATAACAGTCTGGAACAAAGTTATAGAAAGCGACGAGTACTACAATATTGCCGAAGACACCAAACCGCTATCTCTTATCAGTTTCGCGGAAAACGCAAAAAATCGTGGAATTTAGTGACGTCACAGTATTGATAATAAAAATCATAATAATAATATAGTATGATCATACTATCCGTATTAACAACTGATACGTTATTAACATCGCCTGTTAATATCGCTATTACTTACTAGTTAATACCAGTTAATACCGTTATTATCATACTAATATATTATTAACATGCTATGTTAATACCGATAGTATAAATAATAATATATTATTAACTGTGCAGCTATATCTTCGTAATCATTAGAGGTGGCGCTACTTATGCGCATCAAATGACTTTTGCATTAGCTCTTATGTACTGTGCGTGCCTTTTGTCGAATATCGTGAATACTCAATGAATCGTGCATTCGTCTTTTCTCTGACATCGAAGGAAGTGAATGCAATCGCAGAATACTGTCCAAAATTGAAAAAAATTGTGATAGGATTGGAGACGATCGGTTGTAATGTGTTCAAACCTGTGTTTGCTCAATTGATTGAAATAGATATATTCGAGTGCGATTTCATTGGCGACACAAATCAGATGTTTGGAGCTTGTACAGAGCTCCAAGTATTGCACATTAATGTGAAGAAAGAGGCTGATATACCGAAGTGCAAGTTCCCGAAGCTCAAAATACTTCAAATCACAAATTTATCTAGAGGTGAAGTTAACCTCTGGCGGCCTTTGCTCCAACAAAATCCACAGATTGTTACTTTACGTGTTCGGGGTGCATTGAACGATGACGTCATCTCAAATGTTGTTCAACACACTAACGGTGTTGAAGTTTTGGAACTGTCAATGCTTGAATGTGTGACATAGATTGAACAATCTCATCAAGGGCTGCTGAAATTGGCCGATCTGAAATTATTGGAGCAGCTGTCTTTAAATTCCCACTATGGAAGGGATGGCGCATTCGCCGGATCACTTGCATGTGCATTTGCAAAGGAAAAAATTGCCATAAATCAGCTGTGTTTCAAGGGTTTTGACATCACCTCCAAAGATGTGAAGGGTATCTCGGCGTTGAAGACATTGCAACATCTCGAATTGAGCACAGTTAACGAGCTGACTGATAAGGATATGGCTTCGATTGCAAAGGAGCTTGCATTGTTGCAACACTTACAGCTTGATACTGCAGTATCCATGGTTTCACAGGAAAATATTTCGTTTCGATTGCTGGCCTGGTGAACGTGATTCGTTTGGCTGAAAATCTATCATTCTTCAGATTGAGGAGCATGCGGAATATGAAGATTGACCAAGATACATTCGAGTCATTGGTGGATGTGATCAAGAAACGAAACCAGGGCAAATTGAAAATGGAAATAAGCGGTTGTGCATCGACTACGGGCATCAATGTACCACAATCAATTCAACAGGCAAATCAATCAACACTGCAAATGGTTGCAATCGAATCCGATTACCGTTCTTTTGAATATAGTTGCAGGTGTAAAGAATGCGAACAAGAACGAGTTCTAAATTCAAGTTCAGAGATATATTTTGATTAATATTTAAAATTTACATTTAAACTAATCAATGAAAAGCAAAAACCAACGTAATTACAAATGTTATTAGAACTCCTTCAATTAACTCATTGCATTAGATGGGCACATGATGCCAGTAAAATCATTTCCTCTAAATCCACTCGAACATAAAAATGAAATCAAAAAGAAGAAAGCGGTTTGTTTTGTTTTCATGCGGTTCTACTTTTATTCTTGACTTTTTCAAATACAAATTTGTAATTACAGCATTGCTCAATTATGTGTAAAGCAATTTCGAAATCACAGTATTTACGAAAAATAGCAACAATATCACAGTATGCACAAGCACATTAAAAAATAAATTGAGAAATTCTAACAATTGTGTGGTATATCGACCATTTGGAACTGATTATCATTGGCCAAATCTTGTTCAACGGAGAAAACTACAATAGTTTTTATATAATTCTTAATCGAACGCTTGCACATTTTGACAATAAAAACTAGACAAACTGTAACGACAATTAATATCAAAAGAAGTAATAAACATCCGATTATATTTAGTTCTACAAAATGTTCATCATTAGTGTATGCGCCTCTAAAAATTTCGATAGAATTCTTTATTCGATTGTTTAATAAATTCAAGTGATGAACTTTTATGAAGTCCGTTTCGCTGAAGATCCATTTAAAGTTGCCTTTAGACACTTGTACCCGAGTAGTTGATTCTTTTGCTGAAATAAGAATATTCAATTCAAAGTTTTTTTCGCCTCTGAAACAATTGGTCTGTATTTCTTCTAGCGTGTTTATAAAAATGTCTAAGGAATAATTTCTCGTCAAAATTGATAAAAATTCGCAGCTCAATCGCTTTACAAGATTATTGTTTAGGTTCAAGCTTTTCAACTGTGTGTTATGTTCCAATAGCTCAGAGTCAATCACTTCAATTTGGTTGTCGCTCATGTTCAAATGTTCCAGCTCATATAAATGTGAAAACGTTGACACATTCAGTACTTTGATGGCGTTAAATGAAAAATTGGCAGTTTTCAATTTGCGCGTATTGTCAAACAGCAGTGGGTTGAGTTGTGTGATTTGATTGAATGAAAAATCCACATCCGTCAATTCTGGTGTGTTATTGAATAAAAGGGCAGGTAAGTCGTTCAGGTGGTTATGGGACATTATAATTTGCTTCAGATGAACGTTATCCTTGAATAAAAAGTCCGGCAAGAGTTCGAATCCAAAGAATGATAAATTGAGCACACGAAGACCACTAAAGTTCCACAGATTAAACGTGTCCATTGTGATAATGAAGCAATTGCGAAAACTCACAAATGAAACATTCGCTCTGTTTATACCCGAATAGTAATTATGGCAATACAACACTTCGTTGGTCTTCTGATTGAATCGTTTTCCAACATCACCATCACACACGTATTCCACATGGTTTCGTGACTCGTTATAATAACAATCACGCGTGTGGTTTTCAATTAAATCCGACACGGTCAGTAGAAAAAATATACAGCCAAGACTTTTAATGCTTTCCATTTTAATTGATGAGATCACTTCACGTTTATGCGAAAAGTGGTGGATTTTTATCGGGGTGAATTGATGACTTTTGATGTGTACAATATCGTGTTATCATAACTGATTCAACGAATAGAACAGAACTATTAATTGTGAGCTATCAATTGATTTTGAATTTTAATAAAATAACATTTGGCAAATATGACTCAAAAGTGATTATTGCATAAATAGTCAGCGTTGGCGATTTGTTTGGCTGATTGCTTAGCTATAGAAACTATATCAGCTGTGTATTGACAAGACGTGCGTTCATATCTTATGCGCATGTCAGCTGATTTCTATCCATTGCAAAATATATTCCTTTGTTCTGCCATTTCTTCTTGTCACACGCAATTTATTCGCCTGTCTTTATTCCTTTTGGAAAATGTTTACCGCCCTCTGTTGGTGATGACTGAAAATGCTGTTCTGTTCGTAGTCCCCAGCTGTCAAATTCGAATTGAGTAGAAGAAGAAACTTGTAATATATGCACATTTTTACATTTGCGGTGTTGAAATGAAAAACAAGTACAATGCAAAGAATGTTACCTTTCCCAAGTATTCAAAGAATAAAAGAATTCAATAAAAAATGCCAATATTTTCCATTTTTGTTTTTTTTTAATTCTTTTCTCTTGTTTTTTGTGCGGTAGAAATTTTATTAAAATCCATTTCTTTGTTACATTTTATATTATCCCTCTGAAAATCAGCATACTGAACGCGACATTCCAATTATTATTAATAATTCTGACCGCAATTAAGTGTAAAACAGCAAAAGACCATAATTATTATCGGTAAACACAAAAACCTAAAACAATTTCTGACTACTTGACATTAATTATGACTGACTGGTGAGCCAGACTCACCATTGGTGTCTCAACAAAATTGTTGTGATTTAATTTTTTGATATTGATTATTATCGTTGCGCATCAAACTTTGTTCAACGGAGAAAATCGATAGGTTTTTGTTATAATTTCGGTTGCGACTGCATGTGGCTGCAATGAAAAAGACACACACGAAAATGAGAATTAATACCATAAAAGCTAATAAATATTCGATTGCGTTCAATTGCCACATAATCAGATTTGATTCGTCAATGTTGATGTCGTCGTCAATAATTTCGATGGAACTTTTGATTTGACCATTCGATAGGCTCAATCGGCGTAATTTGATGAATTCGATTTCGCTGAAAATCCACTTGAATTGACCATCCGATACATGCAAACGTGTTGATGATTCCTTTGGTGAGACGACGATATCCAAATCAAAGTGTTTTTCACCGCTATCGCATGTTGTCTGAACTTCTTCCAGTGTGTTGATGAAAATATCCAACGCATCATTTTCGGCCAAAGTGGCTAAAAATTCACAGTCCAATCGCTTCACTTGGTTGTCGTTCAAGTTCAAAGTCTTCAGTTTTTTGTTGTATGCAAATAGATCTGAATTGACCGCATCAATGTTGTTGCTGCTCAAGTCCAAAGTCTCTAATTCTCGTAGGTTTGAGAAAGCTGGTGCTTTGACCATGTCAATCATGTTGAATGAGAAATTGGCCACCCGTAATTTCCGTGTGTTATCAAACAGCAGTGGATAGATTTGGTTGAATTCGTTGAATGAAAAATCCACTTCAGTTATCTCCGGTGTGGTATCGAATAAAATCACCGGCACCTCGGTCAATCGGTTGTGACTCACAATAAATCGTTCCAACTGGATATTATCGCGGAGCAAATAATCCGGTAATGTTTTGAATCCAAAGTATGATATGTTTAGGACACGCAAACTATCGAAATCCCATAGGTTGACCGACGTCGACGTCATTTCAGAAATCAAACAATTGCGAAAGCCCAACGATTTGATTGCACTTCGGTGGATTTCTGAATCGTAGTTGTGACAGTACAAAATTTTGTATGTTCTTTGATTGAAGTGTTCACCAATGGGACCGTCACAAATATATTCGACGTGTTCTGTTGGCTCATCGTAATAACAATCGTGAGTGTGGGCCACATTGAAACTCGGCATTATTGCTAGAAATACGATGAAACTTAAACTTTTTATTATTGCCATATTCTAAATACGGTCACTTCACTCTTATGGGAGAATGGAACTGTCCAATTTTTACGAGATCAACTAAACAACTGAGTGTGAATGTCCAATCGATTTCTATAAATTATCTCACCGAATTGCGTCGTGCGCTCCGTTTATATAGGAATGTCAAACAAATGATACTGCTTACTTCATGCAAATTGTGTAAGGTTCTCTCGCAATTTGCTATTAAAAGTGCGAGCGAGAGAGCTAGATGTGCTGAATTCCAAGAAAAGAGCAGAAAAAAATGTTTGCTTCAATATACAAACACACTTCTACACGTTTATGGTGCGATATGTTCAAAGAGGATTTGTTTTGCCGCTCGCTTAGCTATAGCAACTACTAGCGGTCTATAGGCGACTATAAGAAATATATGTGTGCGTCACCGGCTATACATATCTAACCGCAAATAAAATATATTCTCTGGTTTTTCCTATGTTTGTTTACGAAAAGACGCAATTTATTTCGCCTTTCATTATTCCTTCATGAATTACTATGGCCATCTGTTGGCTATTGCTGAAAACAATGAGTTCAATTGAAATTTGATTTTTTTGTTTGAGAAACAAGGAAAACGTGAGAAATTATATGAAAACAAACGCATTTTGTATATTTATTGACTCAGTTTCAAAATTACAGGGTTTCAATTCAAGTTCATTTTTGGATAAAATACATAGAAAAATATGTTTTGATTGTGTTGGATCAAATTGATTAATCATAATTTTTTATATGTAGAAATGTTGAAGAAAATGGAAATGAATTTAAAACAATGTTTCGAATCCAATATTTTAGATGAAATCATGGCAAATAAATTGAATGTATTTGTTGAAGCGTAAGAGTGTGATCGCACAATGGACAATGCGGCCGTTCCACTATCCATGTTGTAATGCAAGTTTTGCAAAACATATGACCGCATTCGGTGTTGACAATGTGACGACTAACCATGCTCTCGAAGCAAATGACACACGGTAGTTTGGTTTGCGGTTCAACAGATCTATTACTACAACCAGCATTTCGGCGTTGACCACTTGATCCTTGTGCAACGTGCGGTTGATCACTTTGCTCTCTGCGCTGTTCTGTTAATTCGACTTTTAATACAATGGCCCCGGATCGAGTTAGACATTTATTCAACAAATCGCTCCATAAAATGGAATCAGGAAAGTATCTCTTTGGGCCTTGCTCACTGAATTTCAACAGTTTCTTTGTTCCTCTTATATTAGGTTGTTGGTTTTCCATAACAATTGAAACACTCCCCAGAATATCGCGTGACCATTTCGCTGCTGTATTTTTGCTTACACACCACAACATGCTACTGAATTTTGTTTGTTCAGGTGCTCGATATCCCGCTCCAATTACGATTATCTTCCATAAGAAACCACTCAAGAAAAACTCATTCGACGAAATTGCTAGCAAACTACTAGCCTCATGAATCGTGAAATATGCCTTGATTGTATCGTTTTCGGGAACAATTCTCAACTCGGTTCTGTTGTTCAATTTCAAATTTCTTGCCATAATTTTTACATTGATTTTGATTTTGTCATTCTGCACATAACTGGCATTCCTATCGAATAATTCATTCCATTTGATGAGTGCTCGAGTTGTACTGCTTTCATTCGGACCAAAAACATACGGCAGAATCGAATCTTTCAACGATACATGATTCGGTTTGAATGATTGTAGCTCCAGCGAAGCAGTTGCCGCACACGACCAATTCAATTCATCACTTCCCATGCAAATCAGACGAAAACCCAACGTATTTTCTTTCGAACTTTTAAATACCATTATTTGCCATAACAAATCTTGTAACGTAACTGAAGGTGTATACAGAGTGACGAGCTCACTGATTTTTTCAATGGTTAAACACAGCTTGGTTTCGTTAATATCGGTTTTAATTGATGCCATTTTCTTGTGATTCTTTTGTTTTTCTTTCGATTTTCATACGATTTTAAGTTAATTTTGTTTAATTTGTCTTTTTTTTGGATTATACGCAATTAACTTTTTTTTATTTTCAATCTATGTCTATGCAATAGTTTTATTTACAGTTTATCCATCCATTACAAGTGAATGAAATTATTTGAGAAAAAACTTCCAGTTAAAAAAGATGATAATTTCGAAATTCAATGTTTTCTACGCTACTTTTGCCAACTGACTGATTAACTGTTGCACATTGAAACTAACTCAAACTATGATAAGATATCAATGCATTTGTATTACGTTCAGTTTGGAAATCGCATTATAATTCTGATAAAGTGTTGGGAATCGAATAAACTTCAACAATCTAATCGGTTAGCAATAGGTCCTCAGCTAATGCCGGTACATAAGCAACTAACACGAAACCTATGTATTTCAGTAAGTGGATGCCACAGACGCAATGCAAATGTTGACTCAGCTATATTTGCATTACACTGGTGGACTTTCGCCCACGGTGCATTCCTTTGAACATAAACACAAATATTTATTCGTCATATTTTCTTTTGTATCTATTCTTTTTTCTATTGTCACACAATACTTACATAAATGCCCATATCATTCTGTGAATTTTTTCTGATTCAATTACTTCAAGTCATTATATACAAACCTCTTAAGTTAATCATTACGCAAACACAATTTGATATTTGTGCTTTAAATGTTTCAAGTAGTTTTAATGTGAAGCAATAATTTTAACTCTTTACGAGTTACTCGTGGCTGATATGCTTTCAAAATGCACTCCTGTGACATCAGACAATTAATTTATACGAAAAAAAATATTATTTTATTATTACAATGTTTCCAAAAATTATATATTCAACACGAATGATATAAAACAATAATTGTTATGCATTCGTATTTTAATTTATTGTTCAATCAAAAATGATACACTGAAGTATAACAAGATGTTCCTCGCTAAATGACAATGTAATTTTTGAAATAAATTCACAAAGACTAGTTCAGTAAATAACTGATTTGATCACAATTTATGGGAGACTCTTCTTTTATAAGCAATATCAACAATTCAATCGGTCATTTTATAGTGTTGCTATTGTTATTTTTGGATCAAGTTATCAAGGCTCTTATCATATAACACACAGTTTTCAACATTATTTCGCTGGTTTTGAAAATGTTTAATGAAGCGCTTAGATTTAATTAGAGTAGAGACCGTTATTCCAACAAAAAGCATAAACGCTATGACAACAATTAAATTGTATGAAATGATACAATTAATCGTTTGAACATCTTCTGAATGATTTATAGAATTATCCACGAAATTATTTACAACAAATGTAACATTATTCATTTGAAACATTTTGTAAATAACTGGATTTTCCCGCACACAATCGATTCCATTAAAATATGTTTCATCTGAACGATTATCAAGTATAACCTCCAAATTTATCCACTTAATTAGAAAACCCACTAAATATTCACACGAAAAATGATTCTCCGCTATATTTAAAACGGATAGATTTGGCAAATCGGTGGACATCACATCGTCTATGCTTGAAAAATTATTCCCTTTTAAATTTAATGTTTTTAATTCGCTAAAATCTAGCAAATCCAAAATAAAAATGAAAGACACATCGATTTCATTTAAGTTATTGTATGATAAATCTAGCACTTCTAGGAGCGTTTCATTAAACAACATTGCAAAATCCAAAAATGTCACATTTGTTCGACTTAAATATAATTGTTTCAAATTGCGAAATTCTTTGAAAGTGTTCCCATGCAAGTCTTTCACATCATGACTGGAAATATCAAGTAATTCAATCAGTGGATTTATCTCGTGAACCAATTCTGCGACATTTTCAATATGCCTACTCGACAAATTTAAATGACGAATTTTGGAAAAATCATTTTTGATAAAACTAATGACGAAGTGACCTTCAGATACTCGTAGCTCGGTTGTAGATTCATTCGAAATGATTTCAATATCAATATGTACTCCGGCGTTGGTGCAGCTTGAATCGACTCGTTCTAAAGTGTTTAATGCTATGTTGAGTGAACGCATTTTCGTTAAAGTCGCTAAAAATTCACATTCCAATCGTTTCACTTGGTTATCATTTAGACCGATGATTTGTAGCACATAGTTCGCGACCAGTAAATTATTGTCGATGATTTTGATTCGGTTGTTGCTAAGGTCCAACAGCTCCAACAGATGTAGATTTGAGAAAGTTTGTGCGTGCAACTCTTCAATTAAATTGGTCGATAAAAAAAGCATCATTAAATTCTGAACGCTGTCAAAAACAGATGGGTCCAGTTGCGTTATTTGATTAAATGATAAGTCAACTATGAATAGCTCCGGCTTGCTAATGAACAAATCGACGGGAATATGGTGCAATCGATTGTGAGACGCTACTAACATATTCAAACGTTGAACGTTTCTTAAATCTGAAGCACGTATTGTTTCAATTCCAATATGTGAAATGTTTAGCATGTTCAGATTTGAATAATACACGTCCAAAAAATCGTTCGATAATTCTTTTGCTTTGCATACACGGAGACTCAGCCACTCGACTTCCTCTTTCTTAATCTCGGAAGCGTAGTTATCACAGTATAAATACTCCGTTGCTTGGTCAGCAAATGAAGAACTACTCACATCACAAACATACTCAATGTGACGATCTGTTGCATTGTAATTACAGTAGCTTATTTCGAAGGCTGACGAACATGAAAATATGAGTAGAACACCTTTGAACATTAACATTTTTATTGTGTTTTTTTTTCTCTTTTAACTCTTTCTATCAAGCTCTCTTTTGGATAATAACGTCGATATCAAAAATTTGCTATGGTCTCCAATGAAGACTCTCCACAACGACTAAATTGGAGGAGCCGTGTCCAATGGCTACAAAATGATTTGCATTACTGACATTTTTTTCAATTGATACTCTGTTTTAAATGCAATTTGTTTATTTCACTATTGAATACAAAGAATTGGCGTAAACACAATCATTTATCTTAATTATCTCTATTCTGTGAATTGACTGTAAATATAGAATCGGTTTCATTTTTAACTTTTTGATATATTCGCATGAGTCAATGCCGATAAAATTCTGAAAAACAAAACGGTTGCATATTTGTGCGTTCTCATGTACATTTTTGTTTATCTTCTTGCTGTGGCGGCATCGCTAACGGGGAAGTTTCCGTTATTTGCGTCAAAAATAATCTCTTGTTTACATTTAAAACTATACATTTCAATCAGACAATTTAGGAATTTTTGAGTAAGCATTTGAGAGTTATTGCTAAAAGGCTTTGAGTCAAAGCTTTAGCATTTCAAACCGAAACGTTCAATGCAGCAATTCAATATAGTGATGTTCATTCTGTAGATCGGCACTTCGACAGGTTTTATCAAAAATCACACTCCGTTCGATCAAATTGGTTCGTTTGGCTTGCGCATTTTTGCGAAAAAATTTCTTTGAAATACCCAAAACTGTCAACTTTGGAAAGTGAGACCGTGTCACGCTGTCGATTTCTCTCAAATTATTCCCTTCCAAGTTCAACGATTCTAAATTCTGGAAGTTACGTAGAAAGAGATAAAAATCGACCTGGTTCAAATTATTGTATGAAATGTCCAACACTTGAAGATTCCGTTGATGATAAAATGTAGCGAATTCAAAATTCGTCACATTGGTTTGCCGTAAATTCAAATTCTTCAAATTTTTGAACTTATCAAATGGGCCACTGCTAAATGCAGTCGAAAAATTTCCATATAAAATAAATTCAGTCGGATTTTTTTCAAACAACTGCATTTAACCATAACCGCTATATGCAGACGATTTTTCTTTCTTCACGTTTGACTGTGTATATCCACTGCTGCTATATGCAGTCGAATAAAAAAAAAAGAGAAAATGAAGCGAAAATCAATGTTAGATGGAATTATAGTCGTTTTTTTTATTTTATTTCATTTTTGAGAAGATATTTGTCGTTTTTTCTTCGGTGGAAGCTGCAGATTTCCGATTCGATTTGCTGCGGTCACAGAACAATTTAACGTTTATTTTTAATTTGCATTTTTAGCTCTGAGAAAGTGAAGGCGCGCGCGCGCCGAACTTTCTCAGAGCTAAAAAATTTCAACTGCATTTAACAGCAGCAGCTATATGCAGTCGAAAAATAAACAACATATTGAATTGGATTTATTTATATGTAGAATGCAATCACATTACGGTCGCAGAACAATTTAACGTTTATGTTTAATTTTTCATTGCATTTTTTGCTCTGAGAAAGTGAAGGCGCGCGCGCGCCGAACTTTCACAGAGCTAAAAAATTTCGACTGCATTCAACAGCAGCAGCTATATGCAGTCGAAAAATATGAATATAATAAATAAATATTAAAATTTCGGCTGCATATAGCGCCAGCGGCTATATGCAGACAAAAGACGAAAATAAAAATTCGACTGCATATAGCGACACCCGCTATATGCAGCCTTTTCGACTGCATATATAAGCGGCCTATCAAATGTGTTCACACTTAATTCGCCAATAAAATTATATGATAAATCGAGTGTTTCAAGTAATGGACTCGCTCCCTGCATAATTGTTGTAATATTTTCAATGTGACTGCTCGATAAATTCAAGTGGCGAATATTGATGAAATCTTTATGACTGAAAATCCATTCAAAATTGCTTTCAGTGATTCTTAGTTCCGTTGGTGAATCTTTCGATGAAATTACGATGTTTAAATCGATCGATTTTTTTTCACTGGCGCAACTTGTCTCAACTGTTTCCAATGTGTTCACCGAAATATCCAATGATTTGGATTCAGTGAACATCATTGAAAATCCACACTTTAACCGTTTGATTCGATTATTATTCAAACGCAATTGCTTCAGTTTTTTATTATGTTCGAACACTCCATTGTCCATTAAATTGATTCGATTATTGCTCATGTCCAATACCTCCAAGTCCAATAGATTCGAGAAAATTGGGACAATTAGCCAGTCAATTTTATTGAAGGATAGATCCACGGTTATCAATTTGCGTGCATTAGAAAAGAAAAACATCTCGAGCCGAGTGATTTGATGGTATGAAAATTTTATTTCAATCAAATCCGGTGTGTTGCTGAGTAAATCGGCTGGTAGCGAAGTCAGTCGATTGTACGATGAGATGAGTCTTTCCAAATGTTGACTAAATCTTAAATCTACAGCAAGAATCGTGTCGATTTCAGTGAATGAAATATTCAGAACACGAAGATTTGTGAATACATCCAAATAATTATCGGCCAATTCCCTTCGCTTGCATCCAGTAAAACTCAAGTGCTGTATTTCGCCACGTTTTATTCCAGAAGGATAGTTATTGCAATAAAAATATTGGTTTGTTCGACGACCGAACATGTATCCGTCATTCACTCCGCAAATATACTCAGCGTGATACTCGCTTACGTTGTACGTACAGTCTTGCGGCATAAATGCAACACACAACGATGATGTCGAAAGAAATAAAATCAAATTCACACTTTTCATCATCATTACTTATTGTATTTGAATATTTTATGTTTATTCCACACGGTCAACAAAACCCAACTAAACAATATGAACTCATTTGCTCAACTGATCGTTTAAATGTTGCAATTTGCTTATTTGCACCCGTTTAACCGCTGATAAAAACACTAAATTTTTTACACGATTAAGAAATTACAACGTTATCAATAAATGCCTTTCCTTCTGAAAGGTTCAGGGAATCGCTCCTAGGGAAGAACCACACATTTATTGAAATATTCACTTGTTTACGTTCACTTGGACTTGAATAACAAATAATATAAAGAAAAATGAAATATCGATGAATATATTCATTGTGGTTGCTATGGCAACCCAGAATCCTTTGATAGAAATAATCTAATTTCCAATGTTTTTACAGCAAAACTATTGGAATTGAGTTATTTTTATTCTTATTTGAATGAAATTCATTTTGCCGCGTCGCAGCCCTCGTGCGACGGTTCACTCAACTACGGGCAAAAGACGAAAATACGCAGTTTTAATATGTCAAATTCAAAAGCAGTCGCTCACTTGTTGATTGTTTGACATTTGAAGAAGACGCAAAACATTGGATAAAAAAAACATTGTTTATTCCGGATGATTTACGGTGCACCAAAGAACGAAGCATAAATACGACGTCATTATACATTCAGATAACATTTAGAGGGTTTGTACAGAATACAAGAGTAAATCGATTGTTTTCAATATCAATAGTTTTAGTTTTGTTAAATGTGCAGTTTGCACACAAACTATTTCAAGAGAGTAATGACTTTTCTATATTTTCATAGATTTTGATAGGAACGGAAGCTATTTACATCATTGAGACGGCATACAATTTTGTGAAGAGGAATTCACGGCAGAGAAATATTGTGCTATATCGCAATCGGTAAGATGATATTGAAATATTTCGATTTGCATATAGATTTTTATCATTTTATAATTCTAATATCAAATATGTTAAATCTCATTCCAAACGCAGTTAAATCGAACGAAATTGGTTGACCCAAATCCGAAATGGGTGATTCTAATGAACCGGTTAGCAAGCGGCTACGCCGACGTAAGGACACGACCACATCAGAAGCATCGAAATCTTCAACAAAACCTCCAGGAAATACTTTACCTACCTCAGAGCTAGCTTCAGATAATTTACCAGCGCATGAAAATGTGTCAAACTCATTGTTGCGTCTGACCGATGGTTGCCTACAAAAGTTGTTTGAACGGTTGGACATCGAAAGCCTGTGTCAAATGGCAAACGTATGCAAGCGATTCAGACCAATCAGCGAACGTGCATTCAGTGAACGCCACAAAAAATTCGTCTTCGAAGGACGATCATGCAAAAATTCGGTGTTTCGTCGTGTGCTCTGCAAATTTGGCCACTTGATTACAACAATCGATGCATCTGAAGCTCACTTTGTTCCAGGTGAAAAACTTGATGTCGGTGCTATCGCTAAATACTGTTCCAACAGCTTGGACAAATTGATTTTACAAAAAGCCACAATTGACTGCGACGTGGTCAAGCCGCTGTTCTCGCGTTTGAAGTATTTGGATCTGGCCATGTGTGATTTTACCGGTAACAAAAATGGTTTGTTCGCAAATTGCCCAAATCTTGAATTTTTTGGATTTGAAGCTGATTTCTGTGGCCCTGATCCACTCGATATGGGCCGTGATCGATCAATCCGTTTTGTTGCGAAGAAATTTCCGAAATTAGAATCGGTTGCATTCGATTGTTCGTACACCGGATTTTGGACATTTTTTGATTTATTAAAACTCAACCCGCAAGTGAAGATTCTTGATATCATAGCACCCTCAGAAGACATGTACATTCAATCGGTTGTTCAGTACACGAAAAATGTGGAAGCCTTGGCGATTCACACGGGCTTTATGTCAACAACACCAGAAATTCAAACCCGAAAAGTATTCCTGCAGCTCAGCAAATTGAAAAAGTTACAGAAGCTATTAATTGAAGCAGGCGATGAAACTTACGGCAAATTGGTTGCTCCGCTTATGGATGCATTTGCAAAAGATAAAGTACCCATTAATCGCTTGAATCTTCGAGAATTCACCATCGGTTCCAAGGAAATCAAAAGCATTCTCAAATTAAAGACAATGAAGATTATGAGCTTGGATGAAGTTGTAAATGTTACTGACGCTGATTTGGTACCGTTGACCAAAGAGTTGCCGCTGCTGGAAAATCTGCAACTGTACTTCGGAACGAAGGCCAGAACACCAATCACAGTCAGCGGGCTCGCTAAAATGATTAAAGCTGGAAAGCACCTTGATTACGTAGCATTGGTGGGCGTACAGAATTTGAAGATCGACAAGAAAGCATTCGATGACCTACTAAAGGCTGCACAAAGTCGCGGCAACGAGAAGACACTCACGATTGACATCGTTGGGAAGAAAAAAACGACCAGCTTCAATGTTCCAGAGAACATTCAAAGAGCAGGCGACAAACATATGAAAATCTTGTACACAACGAGTGACTAAACTGCAGAAATAACAAGCGAATAGTTCAGGCGACACCATCGGAAACAGAATTATTCTAACCGTTGAATGGTTGACTTCTTTTTTTAGTTTTTGTAGTTGTACCGCTTTTTACAAAAGTATCATCATTATTTCAATAATAATAAAAAAAAACTCGTAATGTCAACAGACATATTCTCAGCAAAGAAATAAAATTACAGTATATTTTACGTTGTTACGTTCCAAACTTAAAAAAAACATTCTCACAAAAAAAGATTCGAAATGTTTATAGTTTAGAACAAGAAATAAATCTTGGAAAATAAATATTTGATTTTTTTGAACATTTTTTGATTTTGAATGATATGCAGCTTAAACTATCGATTTTCATTTGAAAGTGATTCATTTTACCGTATTGCAGCCCTCGTGTGATAGTCTGCAGAACTACTGTCGAAATACCGAAACACGGCATTCTATCTGTCAAATTCAAAATCATTCGCTCACTTGTTGATTGTTCGGCATTTGAAAAAGACGCAAGACTCTCGCCAAGAAAACAAAGTAGCCTTGGACTATTTACACAAAGGCAGGACAAACAATAAATACGACGTAGTATTGTCATCACACATTTGGGTAAGTTTCAAAGGCTTTGTGCACAATACAAGAGTAAATCGATTGTTTGGAACATTTTTTTTTCTCGATTTTAATTATTGAATATGAAGTTAGTTTGACACAAAAAACTCTATTAAAAGTGATGTTTTTTCTTCATTTTTATAAATTTTGACACAAGAAGACGCACAGCAGAAGAATATCGAGTGACAGACAGCACAATAGGTAAGAAGCTAAATAAGCATATAGATTTTGAACAGAGAATGATTTTCATCGTTGAATTGCCGAATAATAAATACATTCAATTTAAATCTATCCAAACAAACAGAAGTCAAATCAAACAGAAAAGTAATTAAAAAACCACCAAAAATGGCTGACTCTGATGAACCGATCAGCAAACGGCTACGGCGACGTAAGGACGCGACCGAGCCAGAAACATTGAAATCATCTACAACGTCTGCAACAAAATCCCCGACAAAGTCATCGACAAAGTCTTCGCCTAGCCCAGAAGAAGCACTAACGCAGGAAAATGTGTCGGATTCATTGTTGTGCCTGACCGATAATTGCCTACAAAAGTTGTTTGAACGGTTGGACATCGAAAGCCTGTGTCAAATGGCAAACGTATGCAAGCGATTCAGACCAATCAGCGAACGTGCATTCAGTGAACGCCACAAAAAATTCGTCTTCGAAGGCCGATCATGCAAAAATTCAGTGTTTCGTCGTGTGCTCTGCAAATTCGGCCACTTGATTACATCAATCGATGCATCCGAAGCTCACTTTGCTCCAGGTGAAAAGCTTGATGTCAACGCTATCGCTAAATATTGCACCAACAACTTGGAAAAATTGATTGTAAGCGACACAACCATCGATTGTGGCGTGGTGAAGCCGCTGTTCTCGCGTTTGAAGCATTTGGATTTGACCATGTGCGATTTTACCGGTAACAAAATTGATTTGTTCAAAAATTGTCCGAATCTTGAGGTTTTTGGATTTCAAGCTAATTTTGGTGACTCGGAACCGCTCGATTACCATCGTTCAATTGGTTTCGTCGTGCAAAAATACCCGAAATTGGAATCGCTTGCATTTGACAGTTCTTTCATTGCTGTTGATGCGTGCTTCCGTTTGTTGGCGCTCAATCCACAGATAAAAACGCTTGAAATTACGGCCCCACCAGAAGACATCTACATCCAAAGGGTGGTTCAATACGCAAAAAATGTCGAAGTGTTGGCAATTCAGCCCGGTTTTTGGTCAAACACAGCAGAAATCCAAACAAGAAAAGAATTCCTCCAGCTCGGCCAATTGAAAAAGTTGAAAAAGCTGTATCTTTCTGCGAGCGATGAACCATACTCAAAATTGGCAGCTCCGCTTTCGGATGCATTTGCGAAAAATAATGTGCCCATCGAATGTTTGAGTCTTCGGGAATTCACCATCGGTTCCAAAGAAATCAAAAGCATTCTCAAATTGAAGGCAATGAAGTTTTTGAGCTTGGATGAAGTTGGAAATGTCACCGACGCTGATTTGGTACCGTTGAACAAAGAGTTGCCGCTGCTGGAAAATCTGCAACTGTATTTTGGAACGAAGGCTAAAACACCAATCACAGCCGACGGACTTACAAAGATGGTTAAGGATGGAAAGCACCTTGAATACTTGGGATTAGTGGACATTAAAAACTTGAAGATCGACAAGAAAGCATTCGATGACCTACTGAAGGCAGCACAAAGTCGCGGCAACGAGAAGACACTCACGATTGAAATCATTGGAAACAAAAAGACGACCAGCTTCAATGTTCCAGAGGACGTTCAACGAGATGGCGGCAAACATCTGAAGATCGAATACAAAGCACGAGAGGTCGAGTACTAGCGTAATAACTTTGCATCGCAAAACCAATCGAACAACGATTTTTTTTTCATTTTTTCTTTACATAGAGATAATTCTTTATATAATATCAGTTCAGTTAAGTAACCAATCGACTGTTTTCCATATTCATGTTCATGTAAGTTCGTTTTGCGTCACAATTCGTAATAGTATCAGTGTGTCAGCCATTTGTGGCTTTCAAAGTAAACAACAAACGCCTAATATTCAGAGTCAGAATCGAAACAACGTTAATTTCCGTACGTTCACGTTTTAAAGCATTCCAATGAAAATGAAACTTAACGTATTATAATTTATATCGATTGATATGGCATTAAAAAATGAATTTACTCTCGTTTTCATCCACGAAAATCATATTTCAAAAAAGTTGAGAATAAATTTAATAAAAGTTTATATTGAAAATCGAACTGAAGTGTGTCAGCAAAATTATTTGTTTTTAGCGCCAAAGCCCTCATTTGAAATAGCCAGAGACTATGTGAACGTCATTGAAATGATAAGCTGTACTTATTTCTATAATGAATGTTCGTTTTGTTTGGCTGTTGCAAGTCGTATGTTTGAAAAAAAATTCTTTAGTAATCGTTACGAGTTCATTCTGTTCCCATTCGAACCACTGTCATCTGTCATCGATCCTAAGGCTATATCGTTTGAACTAGTCCATTAAATACCATCAGAACCAATGGCGTGGCTATGGAGAGAATTAATGCACTGAAGGTATTCCACTATTTTCATAACTATAGACGATTTTGATACAGAACTACAATTAAAACTCATAAGGCAAGAATCTACTCACTTTCCCCTTTTTCAATCGTTTCATTAAATTCAATTGATTTCATATTATTTAATTTTGAACATAGAAAATATATTCAATGCTTATCTTTACATTTTATGAGACAAATATGCATACAGATACTAGATAAAACTAGAGTTCCAATACAAAGTGTACAAAATTTAGTGTGCAATTTGTTCCATCTGTTGAGGCAGCAATAAACCATGTTGCATATCGATAAGATTTTTCTGATTGTATGCCACACTGCGCTCCGGTGAGTTATGTAATAGCCTTTGTTTGAGGCTCCTTAGCGGATGTTTACATTTGCTTGTGACAAGGCTTGTGATGAAAAACAGGCACATAACAAAAAAAATCAGGCCCAATAAAATTTTTATTGCAAATAAATCTTCTAAATTTAAATGCGGCGAGACGGATTTTGGTTGGTCGACTAAATTTTCTGGGAAAAATTTGGCTAATGTTACATTATTCATATTGAGTTCTTTACGTGTGATTGAATGAACACAATCGACTCCACCGATATGTGTTCGATTCGAGGAACTGTCAATTCACTTTAGATCGTGCCATTGAAGCAGAAAATTCACCAAATAATCACACGAGAAGTTATTCTTTGAAATACCCAAAACTGTCAACTTTGGAAAGTGAGATCGTGTCACACTGTCGATTTCTCTCAAATTATTCCCTTCCAAGTTCAGCAATTCTAAATTCTGGAAGTTACGTAGAAAGAGATAAAAATCGACCTGGTTCAAATTATTGTATGAAATGTCCAACACTTGAAGATTCCGTTGATGATAAAATGTAGCGAATTCAAAATTCGTCACATTGGTTTGCCGCAAATTCAAATTCTTCAAATTTTTAAACTTTTCAAACGTGTTAGCACTTAATTTGCCAATGAAATTATTCGATAGATCAAGTGTTTCAAGCAGTGGACTCGCTTCTTGAATTAACGCTGAAATTTGTGCATTTCTATTGCTTGACAAATTCAACTGACGAATGTTATGAAAATCATTTTCGCTGAATATCCATTCGAGATCGTCTTTAGACACACGCAGTCTGGTTGCAGGTTCTTTCGATGAAATGGCAATATTCAAATTGATATTAATTTCGCCATCGTTACAACTTGCACCTAAATACTCTTATGTGTTCATGTTGAGTGAAAAATTCAACGATGTTTGCGACAATGCCGTTAAAAATCCATATTCTAATCGCTTCACTAGGTTATTGTTCAAATAAACCTTCTTTAGCTTTGCATTATGCACCAGCAAGTCATTTTCAATTTTTTTGATTCGATTACTATTAAAGTCCAACACTTCCAAATCATTTAGGTTTGAAAACAGTCGCCGGTTCAATGTTTCAATTGAATTTTAGGAGAAATTCACACTTTTCAATCGTCGAATATTATCAAAAACAAATGGATCAAGTTTTGTTATTCGATTATATGAAAAATCCATTTCCTCCAGATCAAGTGTGGCATCGAATAATTCGGATGCAATTTCGGTTAGGTGGTTGTGTGATGCGAAAATTTTCTCCAAATGTCTGTTGGTTCATAGGCAAAATGCGTGGAATACTTCAAGTTCGGCGAACGAAACGTTTAAGACACGAAGTCCCGGGAACATGTCCAGTAGATTCCATAGCATTTCTTGTACTTTGCACCCAGGAAAGCTCTATGTTTGAATATCCGTGCGATCGATGCCCGCCGAATGATTATTACAGTATAAAAATTCATGCGTTCGACGGCCGAAATTTTCTCCCTCAGCCACTGCACAAACATACTCCGCGTGATTAATCACATCGTCGTAGTAACAGTCATTGAAATCAAACGAATGACAAACTTGAAACAGGAATAGCAAAAACGGCGTAACATTTTTCAACCAATTCATTTTAAATGTGTTGCCTTTTTAGAATGAAAATCTGAATGTGTCCAGCGTCGCAGATATCACTCGCTAAACTAATCTGAACTGAACTCTTTGCTTCAATCATTATGCAAATAGTAGACGAGCTAAAGACGGTTTCCGATCCCCCCATTGAAGATGATAAGTTCACATATAAACTGAAATTGATAAAAACATGCAGGAGTTGATGAACTCACCGTAGATACTGTGCAGTGTGCACTGTCAGTATACATTGCATATATTGCAGCTTGAATTCCGCATTTTGTGTCCGGAAATGTCATTAAAAGCACAACTTTCCATTTTCTCTTTATTTTTATTCGTTATTTTTAGCTCCACCTACATCATGATGTTAAAATATGGGTTAAACTTCTAATCGGTTTTGGTAAAAATATTCAAAAATTAGAGCAAATTTCCTCTTTGTTTGCATTTATGCTTGAAAGCAGTCTCCGTTCCGATAACTATGACTGAAGAAATGCAAAGTCCAAAAATGAATGCTCGCATACGATTCGTTATTCTGAGGAAGAAAAAAAGACATAAGAGCATTGATGAACATTATTCAGGAATATTTTGAAGAATGAAAAAAAAATCGTCCTACCCGCTGGGGCTTCAGGGGTTTTGGCAGCTTTAAGAAAAAAATAAAAATTAATATCGTGTTTGAAACAGAAATGGTTTGAGTTTAAATTACCTCCCCCAGCTGGTTGTGCACTGTTCCAAAACCATATTGAAACATTAGTTATTTGCAAAATAAAATTTAATGAAAAGAAATTTTTGATTTGTACTTACTTCGACTGAGGAGGTTCGGGGTCCCTTCATTTTTGTAAAACAGAAAATATCAAATTAGCTTCAAAACTATTGTTGAATTTAATTTTTTTTCTCATGAACTTACGTCCAAAAGGTACCAGTGGTCGAAAGTCCGCCTTGAGGTGATTTAAACCACGATGGATTAAGACTGTGCAAATAATTATATACGGAGTTCGTGCCGGTTTTCAGACCCGGATAGAAACTGGAAAACTGTGCTTCGGCTACTTGAAGTTGAAACAAAAGAATTGTGATCGAAAGCGAGAGAATGATTAAAGTTGATTGACGAGCCATGTCTAGTGCAGATGTTTTTTTCGAATGATTTCGACAATTTTTGGTTTAACAAACGTTCTTTTCAGTTGAATACTTGATTTAGTACTGAATTCAAAATGCGAAATTTTTAATTTTTATACAACAGCAACGATTTCAAATGCGAAACAATTATCGCATTTCAGCACAAACTGAAAATTTATTTGAAATGTGTGCATATTTATAGGGATCCTCTAAATTGTAAGCTGTTACAACCACATTTTTCATTACCAAGTAGTTAAAACCACATGTGTCTTGGTCGCAACGAGTAATTAGAATTTCGTTGTTTACTTTCACCTTTTAATTACTTCCGTGATGTCATTGCCCAAATTTTCGCCTTGTCATTGACCCAATAACAATACAATTTAATAAAAATCGAGCAAATGAAAATTAATTGGCCATAAATGAAAGTTCAATGCTACAAATGCAACAAATGAAACTTAAAATTGGTCGACGAAATGAGTTCGAGATCATGAAATTTGATTAAAATAGTCTCTGACAATGACTGAATTGAACTGCTAAAATATACACAGAAAAAGATGTTCGACAATAATAATTCACAATAACTTTCTTGTCATGATAATGAGCCCGCAACATTTAAATATGCGTAACAATCGATGTGTAACAAACCGTTTGTTTTCGACGGTGTACTAATCAGTAATTGTCGTTTTATTCTTTCATCAGAGAATCATTTCAGCATAGATATTCAGTTTACAGCTGAATTCTCAGTAACTGAATGCAATGATTGTTTGCGTCACTGTGAGTGCGCGGGCACTCTACATTCAAGCGCAGACATGCATATACATTGGTTTACACTCAATCGGAGTGAGTGTGCGTGCGAAGAGGAGAGAAGAGAAGAGAACGAACGAAATGTGTCGCATCGACACAGTGTCAGTGTGGCGGATATTTACTCTTTGTTTCTTCGAATTGTTGTTCCTGCTTCTTTTTCTTCTTAGAAATTTATCAACAGCATAAACACAAGAAAAAGAATCAAATTCAAAAAATAAACAGAACAATGTTTGATTATTGGTTTGTTGTGTTTAGTTTTAGAATTTAACTTTTCTGGTTGTGTTTGTGCTGCCAACAAATTTGTTGGAAGAAAAAGAAGAAGGAATAACGATTCGAAGAGACAAATAGTAAGTATTCGCCACACTGACACTGTGTCAAGATGACGTTCACTCAAATCGTTCAATGCGACATATATTGTTCGTTCTTTTATCTTCTCCCCTCTCTCGCACGCATACTCACAACTGAGTGTAAACCAATGTATATGCACGTCTGCACTTGAATGTAGAGCGCCCGCTTGCTCACAGCGACGCACAGTGACTGCATTCAGTTACTGAGAATTCAGTTGTAAACTGAATATCTATGCTGAATTGATTCTCTGTCTTTCATAGAATTCAGAAGTATATTATGAAAAGTAACTTAATAAGTTATAAGAAATTACTTCCTAATACTTCTGAAAATGAAATCCATTGTTGGGATTCGCATAAGCAAGCTTGATATGAATCTTTGTTGTATGAATGAATTTAGTCAAGTTCTGGACATATCTATCAAATGATGATAAGAAAATGAGAATTTGTCGGCCAAATTCTCATTTTATACGGAATTGCAAACCATTTTGATGAAATCCGGTAAACGTACACGCAGAACTGTTTTCCAAAATATTTACCGTACTTTGTCAACATTTCAAGTTGCAAATCAATTAAAATGGTTCTTAGAAAAAGGAAATGTGTCATGCCAAAACGACATTTAATATTCAATATCAAAAGGGAACTTGTTTTCCATTCATTCTTCTTCGTAACGAATACTATCCCAACCAAATCAACAAGTGATACCTAGAGTGGTACTAAACAAATGGAACGGCTGAAATCAAATATAAACACAGTATGATTGTGTTGTTGATGGTGCGCAATCGCGCATCGCATGTGGAGTTGCTATAGTAGCATGGACAAACATACAAACAAAATATCAACAAATGTTGTGACAGACAATTTCACGGAAATACACATGAAATTAAATTCGTTTCCCAAACCGAATATTCACTATTTGCATAGAGAGTTTTCAATTAAAACAATGTCCTACAAAGAGGTTCGAGGTATTTATCACTCAATGCTGTTGTAATTACAAAATTGTACGCATTCCTTTGAATTTGCTCTAGATTTGTTTGAGTACTTGAAAATTCTCGGTTACCCAAAACCATTGAAGCTAACGGCGTTGTACACGAACCAAGGATCATTGGAGAATTTCAAATTAGTTTTTGATATTTTACGATGGCTAATCGACCAATATGAGCCAGGAACGATTTTACTGGGCAGCACCGACACCGAAATTGACCGGACACTTTTGGTTCGAAGTGCGGTTGAATTTCTGGTGGTAAAAGCGGGCATCAAATTGAATCCGATTCGATTATATGCCAGCTCAATGGCAGCAGCACCCGAACTATTGAAAGTCGTTAATTTGATTATGAAACGGCCAACAATTCAATATCAAGACTCTGATGCAATGAATGAAAAGCAATATCGCAAGTTGACCGAAATCGATATCGACGACAAGGTACGATGTGTGCTATAAAATAGCTTATCGATTTTATTTCCTTTGGAGAATTGAAAAGTTTTTTTTCTGTTTAGATTAAAGCCAGACAACGTGGCCGCGAGCTATCATCGGAGCTGACTCATATCGGCGCGACGCTTTACGATCTCTTGGGAAAGGACAATGAAAATCAAGAGAAACGAAATATGCAGGCCGGCCGCCAAATGGAATCGTCAAATGTTGACCGAATTTTGCACAATGTGATTACGTCAGCAAATGCAAAGCTATCGAGCGACAAGGCCTTGCTTGATTCGGCTTTGATGGAACGACAAGCCAGTTCGGCGAAAATTGAACGGAAAAAAGCCGATTTGGAGCGGCTCAGACAGAGATTGGATACACTGCAGAAGATACGGTGGGGATATTTCTGAACAAACAAACGTTTGATTAAAACGAATTTAACCTTTTGAGACTACGAAATTCTTAATCAGACCAAAATAAAATGTATATTTATAGCCTTGCCTAACATTTTAAATGCCACACAACTAATAATAATTTCAAATTATTTTTGCATTTCAAAATAGTCCTGCTTTCTCGGAAGAATTCGAAAAGGCCGAGGAAGAACTGCAAGAGTTGTACGGCGAATATTTGACCCATATTCGATGTTTAGATGCTCTACGGGCTCAGGTGAACATCAATGCAAAAGTGACGCAGCCAATGTCAGAGGCGAGCAAGTCAAGTGCTCCGGCAAGCATGATACGTTTACCCGATGGCATTCTTGACTTTTCTGATGAGCTCAGCGATGATGGTGATGACTTGCTTGACGACGATGGACACGAATTGAAACTCAAGCGTCCAGTCGAGACCAATGATGAATCCACTGAGCCTGCCGAAGTTGATCCAACAAAGGCAAAACTGCGCATCAAAACTGGAGGTTAGTTTCTTTTGAATTTCATTTCAATAGCAGTAACTTGACACAATTCAATTCATATTTTTGGAGTAATATTTTCATTGTATTTTTAGTACGTCGATCAGAAGACCAACGCCTTATCGGCCACATGCTTGGTGAAGAAGGTGAATCCGATTTTGATAGTTCGATGGAGTACAACGGAGGCGAAGATTATTCCGATGATTCTGACTTAAATCTTGAGAACGATCCAGCTGCAAACGTTGAGGCTCTGTATAACTTTAGTGAAAATGTGCCGGCTCGCATTAAATCAGCCAAACCAAAAGCTCATCAAAGCGATGAAGATTTTTGAACACACACGGGATTGAAGGGACGAAGAAGAGAAAGACAGGGGATTCTCAGATAACTCAGCAACCCACACTAGTGATATAGTTTGCCATTAAACTATTATGATTATGTAATTTGCAATTTTTTAAATTAAAAACAAATGTAAATTCAAAAATGTCTCGATTTATTCATATTTAAACCACATGGAAATAATGTCTTAAATCCAAACCCTAGAGCAGAGAAGAGCAAAATAAAAGCAAATAAAACGACTGTGTTGTTTTTTTTTTTTGATAAATTCAATTTGATTTTAAAATTTATTACGACCACTTTAGATTTGTGTAGATTTACAGATCGCTTTAGATAATGTTGTGGATTCAGCAAAAAAAATTGATAAATTTTGATACACACTTATACATATACGTTTTTCTTTTTCTTCTTTTTATGTGTTCATTTATTGTAAGGTACATAATGGTTTTTGGCTTTTATTTACATAATCTTATCGATTAAAAATTCTAATGTGTTCAATTATATGTTGAGTTCGCCGTTTCTTTTCTTCTCGCTTCTCTCCTTTAATCTTATAGACGTTGAAACGCGAACCAAGATCAAAAACAACTTCAAAGTAACAATAACCTCGAATGCAATAATTTGTCATCAAAGAAAAGGTGCTGTCGTTCTGAAACGCTCAATCAAAAAGTCCAATGTAATGAAGAGAGATTGACATTTAGATTGAAATAATTTGTATGAAATTTGATGACAGGGAACATTTGATGTGTTGTCGGATAGTGGACGGTTGTGCGGCGGAGATGGAGGTGATCACGTAGTTTAGCAAAGAACGAACACTTTTGAACGGATGAGGACCAATGATGTAATGAATAATGAATAATGACTAGTGAAAGGAGATGTGACCCCTTGAAATGCTTACTATCTAGTTGCCATTGTTGCTTATCTAAATATATATGTATATCTATGTGTGTAATAGTGATTAAGTCTCATGGATAAATTTACACCTTGCTTTTATTAGTACATACGCCTTAATAAAAATTGATTTTGCTTTATTCTCTCTCGACGGAAACTATTTGGAATTTATTACAATACATTGGATTGTTTGCTCATTTCAATGTGTGTTTCATTTTATTTTTCATTCTCGTCATCGAGTTTCCAATAGGAATAGTAGTAGATGTGATATAAATTGAGTATTTATAAATTCCTTAACGCAAACAATCAACAGAGATAAGAAGTGAATGAATTAACACTAAATTCAATTCAGCTGCTTCAATTGTTTTGGACCTCACATGCGTATCTCGTAAATTTTCATGTCTCTCTTAATATAAATAATACTAAATTTCATTTTTCTCTTCTAGCAATAGTATTGAGCTGTACAACAATTTCAAACATTGTTTTTCTTCCCTTTCCGCTACCGTGTTTGATGAGTAAATTCTCAATAACATTTATCAAAAAATATATACGTATGGGATATTTGTTTTATGCTTAACATTTAACGTTATTTGTTTGTTTTGTTTTTGTTTAGAGAAACCGTGAACGGGCTATGACCGACAGTGTCAATGTCAATTTACAATAAATTCAGCATTCCTCCCTAGATGCAATGCTGCCCATGCGTTCAATGCTGTTTAGTGCCTTCCAGAATAAACGCATTCATTTCTACCCACTATCGCTTCTTATTCTGTGTGTGTTTTTCTTTGTTTTTATCATCTAATTTACATCTACGCTTCTTGTTTAGCCACTGTTTGGCTCGAGAAAAAATCATCTAAACAAAATATTTACAGCATTACAATTATTGGAATTTTCAACAAATTGTTTTTTTATCTATCTGAATATGGGCTGCACGGATTTATGCTGATTTGCCATCCGAACTGATGCTATGATGTTTGAAAGCACTTCGAATCTTCGATAAATACTGCGAACATATGTATCCATAACACTTATTGTACCATTCTGGGCTACGGCCTCTGTTTTGGAAATAAAAAAAAAATTCATGGATTAGTTCTCTGCTTTGGAAAGAATTTGACGGGATTAGAATTTCGTCTTTTTTTCTTCAAAATTTAAGGAAATTACTCCTTATTGAATGATTTTAATAAATGGTCTCCAATTTGTTAAGTCCAAACGAAACAAAAATATTGCTAGTATTCAATAAAGTTTAAAATATATATGGAAATTGGACTTACTTTGTGTCGACACGCGCCAAATGCATGATTTTCGATTTTCCATTACCGATTGGTTCGATGAGATATCGTGATGCGAGCACAACACCTCTCACTCCGCCCAAAAGTAAATGTGCATCCGGATGAGCTACCGATGTTTCGACAATAACACAGGCACCGCGTGGCAAATCGGCTCTCCAAGATCTGAAATCGCATTGAAAAAAAAATCTGTGAAAATGTTTCAAATTTTCTTTTTCCGGATCTTTACCTTAAAACACAGTAGTCGGTGATAACATGTCCTCCAGTGGCGTATTGAAAGATTTCACTATGATCGTCGAGCTGTTCAACGATTCGGCATTTCATGAGATATGTATCCCATTGGCGTCGCTCTTTGAAAATGAAATGTAGTATTTCCATTGGTGTTGCTTCGATGTCGGTCGTGCATCGCCATAGCCGCAACGGGTGACCATCTCCAACCTTCTTGTGAGCCACATCAATAAATGGATCGAATGTTTGCAGTGAAATCCAACCACGAGATTTTTCACGTCCTTCTTTGATTGTTGCACTTGTGCACTCATACAAATACCTGCAATGAATCGATAGTTGAATTATACAATTTTTTGTCGTTTTAAATTATAATTTTTTTCTTCCATATTTCCAGAGCTGACATAGGCACCTACGGGGTGCCGGCACTTACTTGGGTGCGCACCTAGTACTATTTCAAAATACCTTTTTTCACAATATTTTTGGATGTTTTGGAATTTGATTATTTTCATCATCTAAATATCATAGATTTATTTTTAAAAAATTACATCAATCTCAAAAATACTCAAAATTTATTTTTCGAATAGTACTAGGTGCGCACCCAAGGTAGTAAGTGCCGGCACCTCGTAGGTGCCTATGTCAGCTCTGCATATTTCTTGTTTTTTTTTCATTGAAAAGAGTAACCATTTCTCTCTCTCTCTCTCTCTCTTCCTCTCTTCCTCTCTTCCTCTCTCTTTATAAATCATTTCATGCATCGAAACTCACCCGCGCCAATCATGCACCGGCAATCCCTCGCCCAATCCTTCCAATGGGACCGGCTTCGACTCTTCCATGTAGTTGAAATTGCATCGCTGCACTTTCTCATTGGAGATGCTGAACAGTTTGCGATAGTTTTCAATCATATACGTAAGGCAGTCGTGCGAGGCACGCGTTTCAGTCAATTCTCTTGAGTCCGGCATACCGATTGGCTTGCGTCTACGTGGCGATACAGAATTCGATCTTGGCGGTGCTGAAAATGTGCCATTGAATAGCGACGGTGCTAAACATACCGCCAAATTGTTGCTTGTCATTTGATTTATCATCGAGTGACTGGCAACATTGTGCAAAAATTCCAATAAATACTGCAACACCTCACGGTGTTCGTCGGGCAACAGCAAAATTGCTGACTGTACCGCATCGAAATGCACTTCGGATGGTAAATCTATTGTGGGAATGGGAAAAACGGATTGATTTTGTAGAATATTGAAATAATAATGAAAAAAATGTTCTAAAACGAATCTAATCGAAGAGAAAAACTTACGTTGAAAGATCGCAATGAATGTGTCGGACATTTTAGCTGTGAGTAAGGTGTCAGGCAATTCACGGAAGTATTGTTTCAACATGTCCGCCACATCGTATGCCTGCTGCAAGTCATATGTTTCCATAACATCTCCCTGCGAGTCTTCGATCACTTCTTTCAATTTGGCTATGCGTGATTTCACACCGGATTTTCGGAATAAACCAACCTAAAGGCAATTTCAAATCGTTTGGTAATCGTATCTAGTTTATGAGAATATCGAGAAAGGAAAATATCTACACATACTTGATCCAATGCATTCAATTTCAACCATTTGAATGCAGTTTGTATAGCTGTCGGCAATGTTTGTCCAGTCCTTTGCAAAAATAGCACCAATGGAACACCGAATACTCTTTTGTCTAAAGGAGGAGACGAAAAAGAACAACCAAACCTATCAGAAACCAATTCAAGTGAATTTCTCATGTTCCACTCACCTTTATAGTCAGGCGTTTTAATCTTTTTAATAAACTTTGGTAACTCCCAATTCCAGCCCGAACGATGTGATGGACAGTATCGTTCCATATATCCCGTTAATGTGACTAGAGCTAATTTACGCACAACCTAAAGTTTTCAAACGAAATCATATTGAGTTTCTGTTCGTTCAAACACAAGAAATGTTCATATTGCCAGTTTAACTCACTTGTAATTGACCGCAAGACATTGAAGCCAATATCGTTCCGGATTCTTGCTTGAAATCGGGTGTTTTGATAATTACTTTGCACCATTCTGGTCGTTCACCATTTTGGAAACTATGCCATCGCACCACAGAGCTTCTATTATTCAAAACGAAATCCAAAAATTCGAAAAATTTATAATTTTATTTCGAATGAATAATGGATACGGCGAAAAAATGTAATAAACTCGCAATAAAAATTCATCATTTCTCAAAAGATAAAAATTATTGCGAAAAACTTTAAACGAAAAAAAAAGATGAAAATAAAAACGTCAAAATAAATCCCGAATGATTGATTGATCCATATGTTATCTCCGCGAAAAAAAAAATGTAAAAATAGATTTCCCAAAAGAACGAAGCAGAAAGAAAAACGAACCTTGTTCTGAATTTATGATCAAATTCTCCGTCTGGTTTAACCCGTGCTGAGCTGCGCGATCTAAAGCTTCTGCTTTTGAATGATTCTTTGAATTTCTGTGACTCTTTGCCCAGATTAAGTGAACCGCCTCGTGAGAATTTCGACGGTTTTGTTTCAATGGAATTGTCAATGCTGTTATTGTTGCTGTTCACTGTCAATTGGTTGCCATCGTGGAAAATTCGATTTCTCTGTCTCGTAAACATTTGATGGCATTCTGAATCCGATAGAGCGCCAATGTCTTCGACTTTGCTGCCTTTTTGTAAAAAGCGTCTTGTGCGTGAGGGTCTTTTCTTTGGTATTGTGCTCATGCCACCGCCACCACCACCACCACCACCGCTCGATTCTTGGCTGGCATCACTGCAATATGACGACGAATCGTCGCCAGATCCCTTCAAATCCTTGGTCAATCCGGGATTGTTTGTAAAGAAATGCAATGGGCTGGTTCGATTCGACTGGCTGTGATGCGTGTGAATATATGTAGTTGGTGCTAAGGTGGCGTTGAAATGACGTGGACTCAAGTGATTTGCACTGAGTTTTTCCGTTGACGAATCATCATTTGAATTCACTTTCAAATCGTTATTATTGAGTGTGGCTGCCAGTTTATTATTAGTCAAAATGGTTGTGTACGGGCTGCTTGGAACGGGTGATGGCGGTGTTGACATCGTAATGATGTTAACCGTTTTCATATCATTGATTTTTGGATTAATCTGTGATAAGTCCAATGTTTGTGGTCCACTGATTACAATTCCATCGCGATTTTGTCGCTTTCGTCGCCTGGATTTGATCGATTCGACTCGGCGCAAGAATGCTTTGGCACCATCCTTCAAACGTTCACTACCCGTTCGGCGCAAACGTACCGGAATCTCCTGATCATCGGTTTGCGATTGCGAAAATGTAACGCCCAACGGAAGCGTTGAAAAACCCAACTGCTCATCATTTGTGTCATTATTCTCTGGACTTGATTCCCGTGATGTATTCAATGCACTGTTCAATTTATCAATGGGTTTTTGCATATCCATTTCACCAACGCGTGACCATCGACGATTCGTCTGTTGGAACGTCCAATTCTCACTCAACGCATACTCATCATCCTCTGACTCCTCTTTGTTCTGCAAATGAAAAAAAAAGAAAAAAAAATTGAAATGACATTTATTGTGTAGAATGAAATAATTAAACAATCGAAAAACACTCGCATTTACACATTGCATATGCATGTAAGGCGGGTCTTCCACACTTTGTCACCTAAAATTGAATTTCGGTATTACAATTTGAGGAAGTAATTATGAGTTTGTTTTTAGAATACAATGTGACATGTGTTGTCAACCGCAAACATTGTAATGGTTTATGGCATACATGCGGTGTACGATCTACGCAATACCAGTGTAACCAAAGCAACAGAAGAATGTAATTTGGTTAAACGTGCTAGATGAAAACGTTTGTCGTATAATCGCTAAACACATGTCTAAAATAATGTGTCAAAAGTTGTATTTTCAATTCACAGTATTATGTAAATTCGATTAGAAACCGAATTTGGTGTATGATATAATTCGAAGAACACTTGTGTGCACTTCTATGGGTTTAAATACAGACTCTATATTTCCCCTCTTCATTGTAGAGTGAGTACTACGTTATCAACGAAGAGTTTCTTTTTTTCCATGAAATTTACAAATGTTCGAGTGCACATTTTCATTTAATTCGAAGTGAGAAGCTCTCAGTTTACTCACTATTATTTGAACTGGGGATTGGCACAAAATTTCTAATTTGTATGCAGAATTGTATGATAAATAATGTACAAATAATTGCAAACGGGTTGAATGTGCGCGATGTACAAACGGCACCGGGAGCCTGTTGAGTTTATTAGTTTTTGAAAGTGCTGAAAAATCAAACACACATTCATTTGAATAAAATTGAAATGATATCATTTTCATATACGCGGAAATTCAATGGATTAATAAATTATGATCCGAACATATGGAAAATTACCAGAAAAATATCAAAAATGATCAGAAAAATATTCAAAATGATCAGAAACTTTTTTTTATTAATTTGATCAGAAAAAAACCTAATATGATCAGAAAAACCTCTTTTTTTCTGATCCGTTTATGAAACGATTTCGGATATTTTTAAATATAATTCTGTTTATTGTAGTTTTTTTTCTGATCAATTTTGAAAAGAGCATTTCTGATCATTTTGAATATTTTTCGGATCATTTTCGAAATTTGAGGATTAAAATTAAATGAGCCAAATTCAATGATACAGTCTAAACCGTATGTGCGTGTTCGTGATGATGAAAAAAATATCGAACGGTCTTGAGATTGTTTTTGCCTGGGAATATCGTTATTTCGGGATAAATTGAGAGAAACCTTGTTCCATATTTTGCCATTTGCCATTTGCTTCGTGCAATTTCATTTGTTTACATACGTTGAAATTCGTTAGTAGTGTGGCATGATTGGGGCATCTACGTGCGTAATATCGAGTAATACATAGTTTGTGCTGTGCCTGCTTGGCCGTACGCAATTTCACATTTGCTCAAAAATAGGAAATCGATTCTATTTATTCTTCACCCCGATTTTCGAATTTCGATAGGTTAAACGCTTGAAAAAGCATTCTCGCTATTCGCGGCCAAATGAATCATTTAATAGTACCAGTTAAAAATGGCTAAATAGCTTTGGTTAATGGCAAGGGTTCACTAATCTGCTCAATATTTTTATCACTTAATTAAGAAGGAGAAGGAGGAGGGAAAACGAGTGCAAAGTTTATGGCGTTGAGCTCCAATTCGAGTGATCTCGCTAGCTTCGAGAAAGTCACAAATACACACGATTATTATCGAGAAAGTAGACTCTCTGCAACGCCGTCGATTAGTGACGGCGAAATCACCTGTAAATAGCTGGAAGTGATTTCGACAAATTGCGAAATACTGCATAATAACACCGATTAGTACTGAATTTTGTCGTCATAAATCGACGGCGCTGCAGAATGTTTTGACACAAATTTTCCATGAGATTATAAGCGTGTGCACAAATATTTCTAAAAATAAGCATCAGTATTTTATTGACAATACACAATTATGTTGATTGTTCATCGTTTGTAGTATTTTCAGCGAAGCATGGAGAATCCATGCAGAGAGAGAGAGAGAGAGAGAGAGAGAGAGAGAGTGGCCAAGTGCAGCCAAGTGTTTGGTATGTGTGTACTTTTTTTGTTTATGATTGCTCTTTCGATTGACCATCGTCGTTTTGCTATTTCAAGTACTTTACATTGTAAAAGTAACAAGAATTTTCGCTCACGATTCACTTTTGAATGTAAAGAGAGAAAAGAAAAATCGACTGCCTTTAGAATGAATTACGCACTATCTTGATTGAAAATATGCGAATCGAAGTGAGCGACCGACCGACCGACAGCGAGAACCAGAGCGCAAACAAACGGTCGCATTCATTTAAAATTGGAGAATTTGACGTGAAAAACAAAGGCAGGTTTTTTTATCTTTATTTTTACAAAGACTACATGACTTCAATCACACTCACACTCAGTCAGGGCAGCTCCAACAGCAAACATCGAATTTGATTCAAGAGATTTTCTCCACATGGATGCAAAGATGCACAAACGGTCATAGTTCAATCTCAGTACCGAGTGCACTACAGCACACATACTCGTTATTGAGCCCAACAATATCTCGAATGCAATGGAAACATGTCGAGTAGACGGAACGATGAGACATAAATTATTGTTCGAACACTTCATTAAATTGATAACGAACAGATGTTCATTTCCAATACATACGGATGCATGTATTGAGCTTAAGTTTATTTTGGCATGCTCATTTAATTCCGAATTAGATTCGGTTTCCGTGTAAGTTATGACTAAATTCTCTGAATTCATAAACTTTGCAAAATGCTATATAAATCGGAGTCCCAATTAATATTCACAGCTCAAAAGCAAATAAATTTTGAATTTGCGCAAACAAAACTTGAAACTATTATGCCTCTGGGAAAAAGTCTTATATAATCCAAAATGGATTGGTGGAGTGAAGTGTGTATACCAAGCTGTGCCCATTCATTTTCATCCGTTCGTTCCGATCCCATTCAGACGTTATTGAGTTTAACGGATTTATTAGTTAACATATACAACAACAGCAACAACCGCCAGCTAATTGGTGGTCTAAATATGTGCATATATTTCCAAAAGAAACGGGACACACGGTCTACCCACCCACACACTCACAACAAAGAACAAAGGACTAAATTGGCTGATGTACGGCCAATTAATTAAGACAAATGGCTCGTCAAAAATTTCTGATTTGTAGGCCAATGCAAATTTATTTTTACCAAACGGAAAAAAATGAAAAATAATTCATTTAAGCTTCTATTTTAAGCTTTGGCTTCCGTCATAAAAAAAGTGGTTTTCGCTCTGTTTGCAGGATTGGAAATGAGGACTTTTCGGAAATGGAATTTAATACGTTTGAACTCATTGAAAAGTGAATAAGTTCGATTTGAAATTGGGGTTGCTTTTAAGTTATTAAAAACTCAATTTCATTTTGCTAATAGATTTATGCGAAACGATCGATTTATTCCTCTGATTTTGCTCCATTTTTCGTCTGTGTTTTTTCTAGACAATTTGCATATGCGTTATGCATTCCAATTCCTAATATTTAGTACTTACATTTGAACCATGCTTGTGAGCGCTGTCCAATCGCATGGTTGCACAACGATTTAAGGCGACCAAACGTCGATAGAGTGACTGCAGGGGGTCATTTTCCAGGAATGGATGATCTTTGGCCACATTGCTGAGATCGATCGGAAATTGTAAATCTGTAAGTAGAAACGAATGAAGAATCCATTAATTCGATTGCAATGTAAATATTAAAATTCCAATTTCAGATGATCAACGAGCGTATTTTCGTTAGAATAATATTTTCATTGAATTCCGATTCGGAATTGAACAAATTTTCAAAATAAATATTGTTTACTAGATGAATAGATGAAAATACATTGGAAAACGTAAATATTTTCGTTTGAATCACATGATTTGCTTGTGGTTTTCAGACAAACAGGATTAATCATCCAAAAAATGGTGAGCTTAGTACAACAAAAGAAAAGACGTAGTGTTCTCTAGGCCTAACAAAAAAAATCCTACCCATTTTCGATGAATGCTGTTGATAGTCAGTGGGCTTGTTGTTGCATCTATCAATCAATTTATTCATTTTATTAACAATGAACAGACAAAGGACAATCCACCCACAATGAACGAGGTGTTTTTCTTTCTGTATCCTTTTATTTCGTTTTCCAGTTCACTTCAGGCCGTAGAAGCGTGAAGGAACTCACACATTTACATAAAACACAAACGACCGTTTACAGTTTTAATTTTTTTTTTAATTTCATCAACTTGTCGCTCTGTCTCTTGTGTCCAATGAACGAACGAGTCGGGTTATTTAATTAAAGTTGGAAAAACCAGTAACAACAAAATTGAATTATATTCCATGAGCACGAGCCAACAAAAGAACCGTTCGTTTCTGGTGTTTTTTTCTCTCTCTATCTGTGTAGTTTTATTATTATTGAATCTCCGTAGGTTTTTGTGTTCGATGCTTTAATTGCCATTAGCTTTTGTATTGAACTGTTTCTACTTTTTCTCATTCACATGAACAATATCAAATTGTATTAAAGTCAAAATCGATTATATTCTCTTCAACTGTTGCATGCAGCAGCAGATATACACACATTCGATTACACTCGATTACAAACAACAATTATGTAAAAGCCATTTTCATTTCATTATTATATTGTTACATAAAAAAAAATGTGTACAATGCAAACGAAATTTTAATGACACACTCTAAAAAAGGGGGCTTTTACATTTATTGACTCCACTTGAAATGCACGCAACACGAAACGAAGAAAAAAAAACGTTTTAAATTTTAATTTCGTGAAGAGGTTGAAAGGCGGTAGTTTCGGACTATAATAACCACAAATTAATAAACAAAATTTCTTTTTTATTCTGTGTGTACAACAGTTGAAACCGAGTGTTGCGAATAGAGCGCGCCAATTCGAACCGCACAACTGAGTAGTCGACCAACGAATGACGACCGTTTTGTGGACCTCTGAGCAGTAGTAGCTCGATTGCTTTTAATCTTTCATTTCACTTTTACTGTGTGTGGCTCATTTCGCTCAGCACCGCCGATTCGCAGAAAAGTGTGTGCGTTTTTTTTTCTCTATATAAATTGCGAGCTAATTCAATATGAGGTAACTGTGAGCGTGCTAACGCGCGCTCACTCAATGCTATTCAAATAGCGAAATGTGCCGCGAAAAGAGGAACAGCAACGCAAGCGAGAAAAAAAAATCAAACGACGACGTTTTATTATGTATTTACAAAAAGCCGTGATTCACTTTGTACCGCGATTTCTGCTCACTCAAAATCGATTCGTTTCGTTTCGTTTCGTTTATTGCTTAATCGCTCTCTATCACAGAGCAGGTATATCTATAATAAGATGATGTTTGTAAATCGTTGCGAAGTGCACGGAAAATCGCGCGTGATATGATCACTGTCGAAGATTTAGTGCACAAATGAATCCGCATTCGTATTTGGTCTTAACGCGAGCGAGTGAGCGTGTTTTGGGTTTTTTTTTTTGTATTTACTCATTTGATTATTTTATCACAAAGCAAATATGCAAAGTCATTTTAAATTGAATGCTTACACAAATATCGCTACTTTTAGTACCCTTGCAAGAAACAACCATCCCATATAATCGGCGGTTTTGTGTGTTTGAGGCGAATGTCATCGATGTGTTCTATGAGTTTCTAGAGCAACTATAATTGATAGATGTGACAGCGCGTCACTCAACTATATGCAATACCATTTCAGGTCATCTTTCTCTGTGTGTTTGTTTGTTCATCGAGACAACGAAGGTTATTCCATTCTAAATCTCGATCCGAGTGCACTTATTCGAATCAGAATTAAATCGTTGGCAAAGACTGATATATGGTCGCATAGTGTTAATGAACTCACTCAGACAAAACAAATACGTATTGTGCTAAAATCTTAATAAACACACACATGCACACAGAGAGACCAGTGTGTGAGAGAGAGAGAGTGTGTGTGTGTGTCCAGATATCAATTTCATGCGCGCGAATTAAGTACACCAATGATGGCGTATGTGTGATGCAAACGGAACTGACTAGCTATGGCTCGAAAAGAATATGGCAATGGCTAATGCTCTGTTTGAAATACTAGATTCTCTAAGACTAAACGCAATGCATTCAATTTTGCTAAAGTGCAAAAGACGACGAAAAAAAAACCGAACGCGTGCACACAAACATTTGGTGTACACAATGAGTCATTTTATTCAGTAAATTGAGGGAGAGAAATTTACGATCCATACTGCTGCGCTTGACATATGGTTTTATCTTTCGCTTATTTTGTCTTGATAACTCACTATCAAAAGCGCACTTAATTCGTCGCCGTGGAGTTGGAAGTGATGTGTGTTTTTTGTTCTTCGAGCGCAAATATTGAAAAATGTCGCGATTCACGACATGAATAAACCTCAACAAAATACACACACAATTTTAATGTAATCTCAGAGCATTAAAAATAAACCAGATGTGTTTTCACTCTCTTCACACCCACCAAAATTATGAATTCATTGTGTTATGCACATAAAATTTCTCGTTCACAGAAGACGAACAAAAAAAATGCTCATGTACGAATTTCGCACATCAATTATCAACTAAGAATTATCAACTCATTCAATTTATCGCTATATATGGCCGTGGATTTTATTCTTGCCACCACCCACGAATTTCCGAACATGTAAACAAAGAACCGCAAATTGCGTCGTGTCACAATTTCTGTATGCAATGCGTTGTAAAACCAGTCCCATTAAATGTGTACCGTTTCGAATGTCTTCCGTAGCCAGGTGAAGAAAAAAAGAAAGTCATTTGCATAATATTCAAACGAACATCATCATTTGATGACTAATGATTCATGAAAAAGTTTGTGTCATCTGATGGCGCAAAGAAAACACTGTTGAGGTCCATCTTGGTATACTGTTGTGCAAAATTCCCAAGAGTAGCCATCGGGGAGAGAGAAAATCACGAGCGTGATGTACATATATGTTTATATGTATGAACTTAATGCGTTACAATGATAAATCTTCGGATCGGATCAATCAATGCCCCCGATGGGCCATAATCGAATCACAACTCACACTGAGACACACTGTAACTTTACCGTTTAAAAAATTCAGTCAAGCTTAAAAAATGGCATATGTTTAATAAATCAATACGAATGTTTGATTAATAGAGAATAGCACATCAGAACCCATTCAGTTTCATTCACATTTTCTGTTACACAGTTGCGTCCAAAACTTATGTCTGCCTCACACCATGTATTTTTGGCATATTCCGGAAAAAAATCTGTTGACATTTTTTTATTTTGCACTTCATTTGGTTTTCGGTTGGGCCCCGATATGCTTCGACATAATGGACCGTTAACTAAATATATAGATAATCCCAATTTCGTGTATATCTAATCCAGTAGTTGGTGAAGTCGACTAGTTTTAATGTCAGTGATTTAAAAAAAAAACAAAAGCACTAAGTCGAACTGTAACCCATAGAAACGGAATATATTTTCGAGATCTGGGGAGGAATCTTCGACGTGGTGTGCTCCGTATTGCTCGTACAATGTTCTTTTCAAATTTATTTAGTAGTTATAACTACTACTAGACTTTTAAGCAATAGAATTGAAGTATGAGGTACCAGAACACTTTAGTAATTGTAGATCGAGTGTATCGGGGATGTAAAATTATTTTAAAAATAACTATTTAGAACCCAATTTAAATACTTATTAGAGTACTTAACTTCAAATAAGCATGCATACTGGGGAAATCCAGCCGCTCTCAGCCATTTGCACGCTTCAATTGCTTCGATTTCTGTAGAAAAAAACAAAAGAAGAACATGAAAAATGAATTTATTAACAAGAAATAACGTATATAGCATTCGAATAAGTTAATCATATAAAATTTCTTTTCCCATCTTTCTTTCGGGAGAGACTTTGAATATTTGCAACAATGAAAATAGCCATTTCCATGAAATCGGAATGGGAATCACATCAAACTAATTTCAAACGATGCCGTACGCCAATCAAATGCTTCAACAAAAATCTGTAAATATCTACTATACGTGTAGTCGTCTCTACTACGGTCTTTGTACGAAAGTGGCAAAAGTACACGTGTATTTACGGGTCTAAACAACGTAAGTCTTGCATTTTAGATGTGCGTTACATACTATATTTTTCTCTTTGTAGTTTAACGACCGAGAAAGAGAGAGCGTGCGATGCTATTTAGTCAGGGCGAATGACGTCAATACCGAGATACCCGGCATTAGCGCGCGGGATTCGTGAATATGTTTGCAATGTTGCTGTGAATCCCGATCAAAGTAAGAGTGCCGAGAGAGAGAGAGCACAAGATGCTATTTCAACTTGAGAGTTTGAGTCAATTTACATTTGTGATATATATTTCCACACAATGGTTTTTGTGTGTGCCATCAAGCAGAGACACACACACACACACACTCACTCTTTCTCTCTCTCTCTCTCTCTCTCTCTCTCTCTCTCTCTCTCTTTCTCTCTGTCACGTCAAACGTACGTACGCAGAACTGTAAAATTTTCAATTTGAATGTAATATAATGGACTTTATCGCCGCCAACGTAACGGTTGACATTTGAACTCTGACGTGATACTATCAATCGGTTTTTAGGGGAGCGTTCTTTGGATAATCATGCACTTTTGGTTGCCACAATGTTCTGAGAAATGTTTCAATTGATTTGATTTGCCTGCCAACACACTCACACACACACACAATCCACATCCGAGCGGCGAATGATGAATTCTCCAGTTCGTGGATTTGTGTTTTACCGAGATTTTGAGTGGGATCATCGTCATTCAGTCACATCATTTTATTACATTGTAGACATTAGTTTAAGTGTTCCACGGTACATGCGAATTTGGTACCATTTCCATTCCCTTCGCCAAAAAAAAGCAGAGTCGTAATAAAAGTGAGTGTAATTTCGAAATATCTCCATTTAAAAGCACGTTTCCGTCGTTTTGTCTCTCTTGCCAAAAAATTACAATTCAAAGTGAAATTTTCGCGGAAATGGAATACATTTAATTTCACCCAGTCTCCCGCACCACAATGCACGAAATGATTATACACATTGGATTTTATGGACTTGAAATGCTACTTCGAATGAAATGCGGTCGCGTAACAATGCCAACAGATGATGAGTAAAACTCCCAACAAAAATACGAAACACAAATTTATAACAATTAAAGTCAACGAGGTACCGATTGTCAAATAAATTGAATAAAATCGTACAGTTTATAGTCAGTCGAATTGCAATTTTGTCATCATTCAGCGAATAAAAAACGGCATTAACCATGTTTTGGGTGAATCAAATGTGATTTTTTTTTTGGTAGATTAATACACTCATAAAAACAGATTCGGAATAAATCGTGCAAGAATGTAATATGGTTGAACAATGGCCGGCAGTTGCTATGAAATTTTTTGTCATTTTAATATTCATAAAACAAAAATTATGTTGAACTGATGGTGTCGCGGAAGAGTTGCGTCGGTTCGGACAACGTGACCAAAATGCAGTCGATTTAAGCTTGACTTAAATTGCTTTTTAACTCGACCTATTGTGTGCGTGTGTGCGCTAAAAAGACCGTGGCACTGGCGTCGCACATTTGGAAAGTGGTGAAATTTTTGGCAATTCGGAACTCCGTCGAACAATTAGCGTGTCAAAAACGTTGTCTATGTCATCTTCGCTCACATGCTGTGAATTTGATGGGTTTCATCATTCCACCCAGGCGGATTCTTTATATTTCCAGCATCATACGTGTATGTTTGCAAGCACTTCCTTCATCTCTTCATTTTTCCTTCAGTCACGCATCGCACTTTTAATATGCGTATCAGAATGTGGAGTCGAGAGCTCGTTTGTCGTAATCGCTTTTCAATTTCACTCGAAAACATCGTTCACACACCATGACCATGGTTAGATTGGTTTTTTTTTCATTATGTGCATTTTGATGAAGACTTCTGATGCTAATGGCTTCATTTTTTCGAGATGGACACCGAGAGTTCTGAACCGTCAACATGATAATGACTCTTTCATTCAGCTCACATTAAACGATATTACCCCGTGAAACTCAATTATTCGCTTGTACATTGTCTTGTGTTCGTTTTAGTGGTGACATGCCGTGCCATCATGAACCTCAACGTTCTCCGAGTGTCGAGCACCTTTAACACCCATTATATAATTTGTAACAATGTTATTACAACGGTCACTCTTTTTTAGTTCTTCTTCTTCTTCTTCTTCTTCTTCTTCTTCTTCTTTCACGGTTAAGTGAAAAACGATAGGATTAACGACAGGTTTGAACGACGAAAAATGAAACAACGATGTGATAACAATAAATTTTGTGGTGCTTGAAGAATCACTTTGATACGGTTATCGTCGTCGTCGTCGTGCTGCATGTAATGAACCGTCCGACACGTGCATTTGTGGTAGAACATGTTTGTTTTGTCTGAAAAGTGATTATTATGTGCGTCAAGCGGCGTTTTAACGTCGGTTTTTTCAGTTATAAGTGCGAATTAACATGTGTATAGAATGCAAACACTCTTGACCAGAGATCTCAACATGGTTGGTGCGTAAAAATAACACATACAACTAACAATTTACGTCAAAGCCCAGATTTTTTTTCCTTCGCTGAGAATTACGGTTTGAAGGTATCTTGTTTTTATAGTGTGTTATAATAACAAATATTGTCAAACCAATTCCAATGTTTGTTGTGGCAATTTAAAGCATTATCGAGCTTTATTTTTAGCATTCGATCGTTCGGAAATGGAAACATCGTTCGGTTTCATTGTGTGTTGCTGGCGCAGCTGTGGAATTGAGAAAACTTTAGAAAAGCGGCACTTTTATGCAATTAACGTTTGTCTCAATCAACAAACCACGTTGAATATTCAATCATTCCATTATCTAAACGCAAAAACTTCATTTTGAGAATTTTTTAAATTTCAGTCTTCCAACGGCACACCACTTTCCGGACGTTCTCGCATCGACACACACACACACAAAACCGATACTAACGAGCTTGATATGCTTGCGGCCGGCGAACTAAAATTGCCCTAACTCAAATTACGTAACATACTTTTTTTTCGATGAGAAAATTTGTTGTTGGCCTGCATGCTTCAAGTCAAATTATGCGCTCGCATATTGTGTGAGATGGTTCCCCATCAATAGCAATTTCAAATAATGGAAATAGCATTCACTAGCTAGTTTTAATGCATATAAAATCGACTTAAATGAAAGAGAGCAATGAAGTAGAGAGGGAAAAAAACACGGCGGAGACAATGCGAACGAAGTGAGCACACGTATTTAATAAGCATGATGATGCTATACGGTACCAAGGCAAGCAGAATTTCACGCCAAATGTTTTGGTTGTTGGCAATTCGTGACACAACACAAATTTTCAACCAACGATGAAGAAGGAAGCAGCAGAAAAAAAACCACTCAACCAGCGGCTTTAATCAGCATCTTTTGGCTCGTGATGTGATGCAAGAAAACAATATGCTTTTAAATTGCATCAACAACAACAGCAACAACAGAATAAAAAAGAAAATTCATCGTTAGTGTAAAATGTGAAATGAATAAAATTGAGACATAGCAAAATGTAACGGCGAATCTTCATCATCAAATATGCATTACAGCCGATCGACGTCGACGTCGACGTCGTCTTTGCTGTTCAAAGTCAAAGGCTTTTGGATTGGTTTCTTCCAAAGTTGCACAAAACTCGACTTTGCATATATATGAAAACGGCAGATTTAAGTTTCATCGACGACTTTATTTGTGTGCCGAACATCAAAGTAGAGAGTTTATAAAGAGATAATGTTTGTTGCCTTTTCGAAAATGAATAGTTTTTTATTCTCGCATTCGTTCGGAATGTTTACCGATCGAAATCCCCAATTGAATGAGTTAATTTTGAAAGGCCGATTGAATATCGCTTGAAATTAAACCACTTGTAAATTTGTGTTCGTGCAAAAGTTTACAAAATATCAATTTTCCGCGTCTTATTCTCACACCAGCACCAGCACCAGCACAGCTCAGCTCGTGCAGGAATGTACTAAATTTACCGCAATAAATAAACCATATTGACCATATCTCTGATATGAAACGTCAGCAAAAACGTCATTTTCAAGGTTTCACACACATCAAATCCATTGCATTCCATTCGGGAAATTATATTTTTAAAATAACCAGATTAGACATATTTTGCTAAATCGAAAATGTTTTTTCGACCCAGAATCGATCAAATTCCATGCAAACATATTATACACAATAAATCATATATATAAATTTATATTTTGAGCTCATTCATTCGTATATCATTCTCAAAATCGATATCAATATTCCTGCTATAAAATAAAACGTTAGCTACGCAGCGCGAAATGAATCCAATTTTATTCATCGGCCTTTTTTATTGTTCTTGTTATGTAGAATGAGTGTGAGTAACGCGCTTCCGATAAAATTTGAAGAAGAAGAAGAAGCAGTAGCGTGTCGCTGATTTCAATGTTTTAACACCGTCCTGGAGTCAGCATAAATTTTCAAAACGCTATTAACTATTATATGGGTGGTATATAGCATGCATATTCAATTTTGTAAACATTTTCCACATGAGCTGAGTGTGGTGATTAACGGCGCTCTATCTAAATATAAACAGACATAAAAAGGATTAGTCCGGTTTGCTGATGATTATGAGCATCTTGCGTATGTTCATCATCCGAGTGGAGCAACAAAAAATAAATCGATGATATGTTTTTTTCTATAAATAAATAATAATCTGGAATCTACTCTACATCATATTCACGGCATG